AGGATGTTTTTTTCTTGATCATGTTAACGGTCTTTTATAGTTTATCATTCAGAAATGATCTTTAATTCAGCTGCATATTTATGTTTGTGATGCTGTTGTCTGTCTGTCTGTGTGTATCAGAGGATATGTTTGTTATTATTATTTTGTTAGAGTAATGATAGAACAGTAGAATAATCACTGTTGTATATTTAGGACCACAGTCAAAAAGGATTTGTTGTTGTGTTATAATTTTAGCTTCGATGTGTGCCTGTTGACATTTCTGTGTAAGTGGAATCTGTGAACCTTTTTCATATCATTTATTTTAATCACAGACTTTTTTTAAGCAGACAGTAAACTGATAAATACTAAATATGCTGTATATACAGACATGTTGATATTTCTGAGTAACGAGGTAATAGTTATCTACTGCATGGCTTCATCAGAGTTGCAATAAAAAGAGAAGTCTGTGAGCATAACACAATATCACAAACACACACACACAGTCTGTCTGAAGATGTTTGACCTGATCTGAAATAGTCCAGAAAAAAGTGATTTTGCTTTTCTTTAAATAAGTGGAAAAAAATGTTGAACTTTTCATGATATTCTGATTCATTGAGATGCACTTGTATTATATAATGGACATAAATACACATGCCATTTAAATTAAATGCAAAAGTGTTGTCATTATTAAGTTCAGCACATCTATTGTTCTAAAATCAAATCAAGCAGATACCAAACATATGAACGTACAGAAATATGAACATAAGCTCTGAGAATACAGAACTTGAAGCTGTAAAAACTTTTAAACTTTACTTCAAATGAACGTGCTGAACAATGAATTACACACTCAGCACTCAGAGCTAATCTGTCCATACATGTGTTTCTACATACAGTCTGATTAAAATGTCACAGTATAGTATGATAAAAAATGTCATAGTATAGAATGATTAAAAAATGTCATAGTATAGTATGATAAAAATGTCATAGTATAGTGTGATAAAAATGTCACAGTATAGTATGATTAAAAAATGTCATAGTATAGTATGATTAAAAAATGTCATAGTATAGTATGATTTTAAAATGTCATAGTATAGTATGATTAAAAAATGTCATAGTATAGTATGATAAAAATGTCATAGTATAGTATGATAAAAATGTTGGAGTATAGTATGATTAAAATGTCATAGTATAGTATGATTAAAATGTCATAGTATAGTATGATTAAAATGTCATAGTATAGTATGATTAAAATGTCATAGTATAGTATGATTAAAATGTCATAGTATAGTATGATTAAAAATGTCATAGTATAGTATGATAAAAATGTCATAGTATAGTATGATTAAAAAATGTCATAGTATAGTATGATTAAAAAATGTCATAGCATAGTATGATAAAAATGTCATAGTATAGTATGATAAAAATGTTGGAGTATAGAATGAATAAAATGTCATAGTATAGTATGATTAAAATGTCATAGTATAGTATGATTAAAAAATGTCATAGTATACTATGATAAAAATGTCATAGTATAGAATGATTAAAAAATGTCATAGTATAGTATGATTAAATGTCAGTATAGTATGTTAAAATGTCATAGTAAAGTATTATTAAAATGTCATAGTATAGTATGATAAAAATGTCATAGTATAGTTTGTTAAAATGTTATAGAATAGTATGATAAAACTGTCATAGTATAGTATGATAAAAATGTCATAGTATAGTATGATTAAAATGTCATAGTATAGTATGATTAAAAAATGTCATAGTATAGTATGATTAAAAAATGTCATAGTATAGTATGATTAAAATGTCATAGTATAGTATGATTAAAATGTTGGAGTTTAGTATGTCAAAAAATGTCAAAGTATAGTATGATAAAAAAATGTCATAGTATAGTATGATTAAAATGTCAGTATAGAATGATTAAAAAATGTCACAGTATAGTATGTTCAAATGTCATAGCATAGTATGATTAAAATGTCACAGTATAGTATGATTAAAATGTTGGAGTTTAGTATGTCAGATTGTCAAAGTATAGGATAATCAAAATTTTTTGGTATATTTTAAAAAATGTCGTAGTATAGTATGATTAAATGTCAGCATAGTATGATAAAAAATGTCATAGTATAGTATGATTAAAAAATGTCATAGTATAGTATGATTAAAAAAATGTCGTAGTATAGTCTGTTAAAATGTCATAGCATAGTATGATAAAAAATGTCATAGTATAGTATGATAAAAAAATGTCATAGTATAGTATGATTAAAATGTCATAGTATAGTATGATTAAAATGTCATAGTATAGTATGATTAAAAAATGTCATAGTATAGTATGATTAAAAAATGTCATAGTATAGTATGATTAAAATGTCATAGTATAGTATGATTAAAAAATGTCACAGTATAGTATGTTAAAATGTCATAGCATAGTATGATTAAAATGTCACAGTATAGTATGATTAAAATGTTGGAGTTTAGTATGTCAAAAAATGTCAAAGTATAGTATGATAAAAAATGTCATAGTATAGTATGATTAAAATGTCATAGTATAGTATGATTAAAATGTCATAGTATAGTATGATTTAAATGTCATAGTATAGTATGATTAAAAAATGTCATAGTATACTATGATAAAAATGTCATAGTATAGTATGATAAAAAAATGTCATAGTAAAGTATGATAAAAAAATGTCATAGCATAGTATGATTAAAATGTCGTAGTATAGTATGATAAAAAATGTCATAGCATAGTATGATAAAAATGTTATAGTATAGTATGATTAAAATGTCATAGTATAGTATGATTAAAATGTCATAGTATAGTATGATTAAAATGTCGTAGTATAGTATGATAAAAAAATGTCATAGTAAAGTATGATAAAAAAATGTCAGCATAGTATGATTAAAATGTCGTAGTATAGTATGATAAAAAAAGTCATAGTAAAGTATGATAAAAAAATGTCATAGCATAGTATGATTAAAATGTCGTAGTATAGTATGATAAAAAAATGTCATAGCATAGTATGATAAAAATGTCATAGAATAGTATGATTAAAATGTCATAGTATACTATGATAAAAATGTCATAGTATAGAATGATTAAAAAATGTCATAGTATAGTATGATTAAATGTCAGTATAGTATGTTAAAATGTCATAGTATAGTATGATTAAAAAATGTCATAGTATAGTATGATTAAAAAATGTCATAGTATAGTATGATAAAAATGTCATAGTATAGTATGATTAAAAAATGTCATAGCATAGTATGATTAAAAAATGTCATAGTATAGTATGATTAAAATGTCATAGTATAGTATGATTAAAAAATGTCACAGTATAGTATGTTAAAATGTCATAGCAAAGTATGATTAAAATGTCACAGTATAGTATGATTAAAATGTTGGAGTTTAGTATGTCAAAAAATGTCAAAGTATAGTTTGATAAAAAAAGTCATAGTATAGTATGATTAAAATGTCATAGTATAGTATGATTAAAATGTCATAGTATAGTATGATTTAAATGTCATAGTATAGTATGATTAAAAAATGTCATAGTATACTATGATAAAAATGTCATAGTATAGTATGATAAAAAAATGTCATAGTAAAGTATGATAAAAAAATGTCATAGCATAGTATGATTAAAATGTCGTAGTATAGTATGATAAAAATGTCATAGCATAGTATGATAAAAATGTTATAGTATAGTATGATTAAAATGTCATAGTATAGTATGATTAAAATGTCATAGTATAGTATGATTAAAATGTCGTAGTATAGTATGATAAAAAAATGTCATAGTAAAGTATGATAAAAAAATGTCAGCATAGTATGATTAAAATGTCGTAGTATAGTATGATAAAAAAATGTCATAGCATAGTATGATAAAAATGTTATAGTATAGTATGATTAAAATGTCATAGTATAGTATGATTAAAATGTCATAGTATAGAATGATTAAAAAATGTCATAGTATACTATGATTAAAATGTCATAGTATAGTATGATTAAAATGTCGTAGTATAGTATGTTAAAAAATGTCAAAGTATAGGATAATCAAAATTTTTTGGTATATTTTAAAAAATGTCGTAGTATAGTATACTTAAAAATCTCATAGTATTTTTTGACAAAAAATGTCATAATATACCATGATAGAAATGTCATAGCATAATACATTAAAATCATCACATTTTAGCATGAAAAAATGTCATAGTAGTATGTTCCAATATGTTTAGTCCATCTGCAGGCATCTGTACAATAAAATACAACAAATAAATCATCAGAATTTAAGTTTATTTTGGGTTTAACCTGACCATATTTGTGCTTATAGTTTATAACTTTAACTTCTTTTCAATTGTTTTTATTTAATATACGATCTAGTATTACAACATTGAGTGGTACCTGTTCACTAGTGTAGTAGGCCTTAACACGAGCGTGGTTAGCCTGTCAGCATTAGAAATATCCACTCAGCCTCTCAGTGTTTCCGTTTGTCTTTGACTTACCTCAAAAGTCACAATACGCTGAGATTCTGAATATGTTGTCCTCTTTTTTTATCGCTCTCCTTTCTTTTATTTTTCAGTGTTTTGATAAAAATGTCGACACGCTGTTCTCTGGCGTGTTTACCTTTTGCACACCTGGGCGTAAATGGCAGCAGGGGTTACTTATACCCCCGGTGGGCCAAAGACGTGGCTGACAAGAGGATATCCAGTGTAGGAAAAATAAACATGATAATATACTGACATTAAGACGGTCTTTTTTCACACAAATTTTGGGAAACTTTTCCAATAAAGGATGTATTTTTATCTAAAAACACCAAACAATTGCCATATGTCTGTTTTATTACTATTAACCCAAAATCATTTGTGTTGAATGATCCCTTCTATGCTCGTACATAACTGCGTAAACATACATGTTGGCCCACGCGCAGTAGCGACATGGCACAGATGGTGTTCAGGGTTCAGATCGGGCCCTGACATTATTCCCTTAGTTCAAATTCTTCTTTCCACCTTTACTCCTCATGAGCTTTTCTCATTTCTGTTGAATTACAAACTACAACTGTGTCGCCTGGTAGTTCAGGGTCTGCAATGAAAGGTGTATTTTTGAGTGTCCATGGTCAGTTCAGGGTCCTCTAAAAGTGTGGGATAAATCAGTTCTGTTGTAGTTTTAGTTCCTGTTACAGACGTCCGTGGGTAGTTCAGGGTCTGCGTTCACAGAGTAAACATCAGTTTGCAGGTCAAACACAATCAGGACGACTCCGGCAGCGTGTGTGGTGCTGCCTTTACATTTTAATCACATTGAATTAAACACAGATCAATCAAACAGTGAAATGAATCAGAACAGACAGAAACAGGCTCGGCAGACCCGGTCAGTACCCGGGTCACTGGGTCAAACCTTCCTTTAAAAGAATCTGAGCCGCGGTGTTATCGATCCGTGTCAGAGAATAAAATCTAAAACATCGAAATAAAAAACCTGTGAGAGCGACCCAGACCCACAGGGACAGGAGGAAGACCGGACAGTCGGACCGCTGAGTCTTTGTGGTCCTCGTGTCTTTAAAGGGATTTTAGTGTGGCACAGAGAAGGGACTTTATGAACAGGGTCACAGCCCTGCAGCTCTGGATAAACCTGATCCAGGACCTAAATGTGCTCCAGAGTCTAGACCTCAGGGTTAGATGTCCACCTGAAGACATCTACTCATTCTTCTTAGACTGAGTCTGCTGGTCTCTGCAGGACGTCCGCCTCTCATTGATGATGATGATGATGATGAAGAAGCTCCTGCAGACGAAGTTCAAACATGTCCGAGGATTTCAGTTCAGAGAGGACAAAACAAGAACAAAGGAAATCCACAGAAACGGTTCAGACCGGATCCTCAGACTCCCGTCAAAGTCCTTCATGTCCACCTCTACACTTTAGGAGGGACACTTGGCGGCACCCTACGGTGGCCGAGAAACGCCACTGCTGCAAATAAAAAGAAGAATGTAAAATAAAGAAGTCAAGACGGAAGTTACTGATGCAAAAAAAAGTTTAAGTGGAAAGATTTTTATTTTTTACCTCCTTTTATTTTGGCAGGAAGTGACTTTTTTTTTGCATTGCCTCTTTTTTGCGTCATTAACTTCCATTGTGGCTTTTTTTTAAATCTGTGCGTTTCTTTCTTTTATTTTTGCATCAGTAACTTCGGTTGTGACTTCTTTATTTTTGCATTCTTTTTTATACACAGCAGTGGCGGTCCTCGGCCACCGTACCGCCGTCTTTTGGACAAACACAAACGGACAAATTAAATTCTTATTTATGCCAAAAAAGAAAAAGGTCATTTTGGTTAAAAAAAGAGGAAAAGTGAGATAAACTCTGAACACCGTCTCTAACAGAACCAGAACCAGAACCAGCTGTGAGGAAAATGTGAGTAAAGGATGTAAAACACGGAGCAGACTCAGCTGGAGACAGGAGGTCCGCCTCAGATGAAACAGTCGTGAGAAAACAACGACCACAACATCAACCATGGAAGAACATGAAGCACCAACAGTCTGAAAATACAGTCATCTGCACTGATATGTACCGAGTCCAGACTGAGACTGGACCAGGTCTTAGTTTGAGCAGCTGACCCTCTTCAGTACCTCTGTAAAAACCAAAACCACTTCAGGACAGAGATCTGAAACTGAGGCAGCAGACTGACGTTTCTCTGGACCCTCCTGACCCCGGTCAGCTGACCCCGGTCAGAACCCGAACCAGAGTCTGTTGGTACTTCAGAAAACCTGAACCCCAAAAATCCGACCAGGTAAACGAAGACGGAGCTAAAGTTAGCGTGCTAACGTCTGAGCAGACTTCATGAAGAGACTGAAATAATCAGTCTGTGATAACAGACCCATCAGCTGATTAACTCATTAAAAACTGTTTTAATTACAAGAGGGAGAGAGAGAGAGAGAGAGAGAGAGACTCTGAAACGTCCTCGACCTTCAGAGGAGCAGCAGAAGTCTCAGCGTCAGTCCGTCACTCAGTTTCAGATCTTTATTTTATCACATCCTAATTTTTCTCTCTGTAATGACAAAAATGTGGAAGACACTGTCTGTCGCCGTGGGCGACCGGGATCCCCAAGCCCACCCAGTCCTGAGAGTCATCTCCATGGAGACACGTATGTGTAAAAGTTTATCATGTGGTTCATTCTGGAGGAACTTCTGTGAGTAAACGACGGTTTAAAGGTTCAGTCAGTGAGTTTAAAATAACACAGATGTAGAAATCAAATAATGGCACCTTAACAAGAAAGTCAACACTGTCCTGCTGATCCTGCTGATCCTGCTCTATGGTTTCCATGTTTGTGGTTTTTTAGACTCTAACCAGGGACAGACATCAGCCCCAGATCCCAACCTGAAGATAAGACATCTATGTTTTTTATACGCATGTGTCCCTGTGAAGTGAGTAACAGTAAGGTCGCCCGTCTGTCAGTCAGAACTCGAATAATGAAAAACAAAGAGTTATAAACACACTTCCTGTACAGCCTGAAGCTGCTCAGACTGTTTTACCGACTTTAGTAACGACCGCAGGATAGAAATACAGAGAGACACGCCCCCAACCAAAACGTACTCAGAGTACTCAGTGTGGCTGCTGGAAGAGAGTAGGTGAGTTGTGTTTAGTCTCTTTGCTAAAGAAATGAGTCAAAGTTAAAAAGATGTTTGGTGTCTAGTACTATGGCTGTGACCCTATATGTCCTGTTGATGAAGTTAGGTGCTGTTCTGAGCATTATTTGTGGCTATAGAGTGGCGTTTTGGTTGGGGGCGTGGCTCTCTGTATTTCTATCCTGCGGTCGTTACTTAAGTTGGTATAACTAGAGAAGCAAGCGGTCGACAACATTCATCTCTGGAGGGGGGGTCTAACTCGGTGTTACGGTGGGTTTGACCCTGAATTAATTTTATTCTGGAATATCCCTTTAAGTCCCTTCACGTTGGACGGACCTATCATACGTCTGTTAACACCAGGACAGAAGGTCCACAGGTTCCTGCTGAACTCCTCACACCTGGTGATAAAATAAAAGTGAAACCAGCTGATCAGGAAACAAACCAAAGTGATCATCAGAGGATTTCCGTCATGTCATCCGTCTCACTGAGGATTACATCAGATTATCCACGACTCTAATCCAGATTATTCCTACTTCATCAGCGCTAATGAGTGAGAGTGAAAACACTGAAGATTCAGATTAAAACACTAAAAAGACTGAAGAGTGGAACAGAACCTGCAGGAAGGACTCGTTTACTAAAACACCAGAGAGACTGACGGACATCATGACCCGATTATCTAACAGACGACCTCTAATCTGACCACGAGCCACGGGCTGAGAAACTCTGCATGAAGGTACAAAAGCAGTGAGAGTTAACTGGACATGCTGCGAAGGGTTAAACTGGTTTCAGACATCAGTGTGTGTTTGTGTGTGCGTGTGTGTGTGCGTGTGTGTGTGTGTGTGTTGGCACCATCTGATGCTTTTTTCCTTTTTTGCATGTTGGGAACTTGAGAGTTCAGGATCAAGGAGGATCTGTAGTCCAAGAGTCAGAGTGAGAGAACTCACAGGAGGGTCCGTGTTCGTCTGTGAGTGTGCATGCAGGTGTGTGTTTATGTGTGTGTGTGTGTGTGTGTGTGTGTGTGAGTGTGTGTTATGACAGGACGTCCAGTGTGACCGTCCCCCGTTGTTTCTTCAGAATAGCGACCGCCTGTTCGTGTGTGACCCCCTTCAGACTCTCGCCGTTCACCTTCAGGATCTGATCACCACGTTTCAGACGCCCGTCCACCGCCGCCGCGCCCTGAAACACACAAACACGCCTCCGTCAGCAGCATATTACAGGTGTCGAGTTACCGCCACAGTTCATCCACATCAGCAGACTTTGACCTCAGCGGATCGCTAATGCTTCCATGCTAACCTCATGTTAGCATTAGCTAAGTTCAGAGTTATTAACAACATAAGCGTGCAGGTTCAAAGTTAGCCTAGCTTAGCCCGCAGACAGGAACAGGAAGTCAGCCCGCAGGTGGGAAAGGTTCTGACCTTGCTGAAGACGGTCTTGACGTAGATTGGCAGGTCTCCATGTGGACTCCCAAATCCTCCTACGATACTGAAGCCGAGACCCTCCGAACCTTTCTCCAGACTGATGCTGCGGGGCCGCGGACCCCTGGGGGGGAGATTCAGGTTAGTATTATTTATCATTTTAAACAGCTTCACTCTGTGTTTGTGTGTGTGTGTGTGTGTTTGTGTGTGTGTGTGTGTGTGTGTGAGTGCACTTTCCTACCTATCCAAGAGGGGAACTTGGTGTCATAACACTTCCACCAAATAGGGGGCCACATAACCGACAGGGGACATTTTTTAGGCCCCCTTATTTAAGGATGCTTTAAATCATGAGTAACACACTTTGGTGAAGATTTCTTTAATTTTAGCCTAGTGGGGACCTGAAAGTGTGTAAGTGTTCAGCCTAGTGGGGACCTGAAAGTGTGTAAGTGTTCAGCCTAGTGGGGACCTGAAAGTGTGTGTGTTCAGCCTAGTGGGGACCTGAAAGTGTGTGTTCAGCCTAGTGGGGACCTTAAAGTGAGTGTTCAGCCTAGTGGGGACCTGAAAGTGTGTGTGTTCAGCCTAGTGGGGACCTGAAAGTGTGTAAGTGTTCAGCCTTGTGGGGACCTGAAAGTGTGTAAGTGTTCAGCCTAGTGGGGACCTGAAAGTGTGTGTGTTCAGCCTAGTGGGGACCTGAAAGTGTGTGTTCAGCCTAGTGGGGACCTTAAAGTGAGTGTTCAGCCTAGTGGGGACCTGAAAGTGTGTGTGTTCAGCCTAGTGGGGACCTGAAAGTGTGTGTGTTCAGCCTAGTGGGGACCTGAAAGTGTGTGTGTTCAGCCTAGTGGGGACCTGAAAGTGTGTAAGTGTTCAGCCTAGTGGGGACCTGAAAGTGTGTAAGTGTTCAACAAAGTGGGGACCTGAAAGTGTGTAAGTGTTCAGCCTTGTGGGGACCTGAAAGTGTGTGTGTTCAGCCTAGTGGGGACCTGAAAGTGTGTAAGTGT